TGCTTATACAGGCGAGGGTTTCTATTAGCACTTGCTTATATTGGCTAGGGATTATATTAGCACATGCTTATACATGCTGGGGTTTCTATTAGCACAGGCTTATAAAGGCTAGGGTTTATATTGGCACATGCTTAAACAGGCTGGGGATTATATTAGCACCTGCTTATACAGGCTAGGGTTTCTAAGAGCACCTGCTTATACAGGCTAGGGTTTCTATGAGCACCTGCTTATACAGGCTAGGGTTTATATTAACACATGCTTATACGGGCTAGGGGTTCTATTAGCATATGCTAATACAGGCTAGAATTTCTATTGGCACTTGCTTATACAGGCTACGGATTCTATTAGCATATACTTATACAGGCTGGGGATTCTATTAGCACATACTTATACAGGCTAGGGTTTAGATTAGCACCTGCTTATACAGGCTAGGGGTTATATTAGCACCTACTTATACAAGCTAGGGTTTTTAGTAGCACTACCTTATGCAGGCTAGGGTTTATATTAAACATGCTTATACAGGCTAGGGGTTCTATTAGCACATGCTTATACAGGCTAGGGTTTATATTAGCACATGCTTATACAGGCTAGGGATGATATTTGCACTTGCTATTTACAGGCTAGGGTTTATATTAAACATGCTTATACGGGCTAGGGGTTCTTTTAGCACATGCTTATGAAGGCTAGGGTGTCTATTAGCACATGCTTATACAGGCTAGGGTTTCTATTAGCACTTGCTTATACAGGCTAGGGATTATATTAGCACATGCTTATACAGGCTAGGGTTTATATTAGCACCTGCTTATACAGGCTAGGGTTTTTATTAGCACATGCTTATACAGGCTAGGGTTTATATTAGCACATGCTTATACAGGCTAGGGTTTCTATTAGCACATGCTTATACAGGCTAGGGTTTCTATTAGCACCTGCTTATATAGGCTAGGGTTTCTATTAGCACATGCTTATACAGGCTAGGGTTTCTATTAGCACATGCTTATACGGGCTAGGGTTTATATTAGCACCTGCTTATACAGGCTAAGGTTTATATTAGCACATGCCTATACAGGCTGGGGATCCTATTAGTACCTGCTTATACAAGCTAGTGTTTCTATGAGCACTTGCTTATACAGGCTAGGGTTTATATTAGCACATGCTTATACAGGCTGGGGTTTCTATTAGTACCTGCTTATACAGGCGAGGGTTTCTATGAGCACTCGCTTATACAGACTAGGGTTTATATTAGCACCTGCTTATACAGGCTAGGGTTTATATTAGCACATGCTTATGAAGGCTAGGGTTTATATTAGCACATGCTTATGAAGGCTAGGGTTTATATTAGCACATGCTTATACATGCTGGGGATTATATTAGCACCTGCTTATACAGGCGAGGGTTTCTATGAGCACTCGCTTATACAGACTAGGGTTTATATTAGCACCTGCTTATACAGGCTAGGGTTTATATTAGCACATGCTTATACAGGCTAGGGTTTCTATTAGTACCTGCTTATACAGGCGAGGGTTTCTATGAGCACTCGCTTATAAAGACTAGGGTTTAAATTAGCACCTGCTTATACAGGCTAGGGTTTATATTAGCACATGCTTATGAAGGCTAGGGTTTATATTAGCACATGCTTATACATGCTGGGGATTACATTAGCACCTGCTTATACAGGCTAGGGTTTCTATGAGCACCTGCTTATACATGTTAGGGTTTATATTAGCACATTCTTCTACAGGCTCGGGTGTCTATTAGCACATGCTTATACAGGCTAGGGTTTCTATTAGCACTTGCTTATACATGCTACGGATTCTATTAGCACATGCTTATACAGGCTGGGGATTCTATTAGCACATACTTTTACAGGCTATGGTTTATATTAGCACCTGCTTATACAGGCTAGGGGTTATATTAGCACCTACTTATACAAGCTAGAGTTTTTAGTAGCACATACTTATACAGGCTAGGGTTTATATTAAACATGCTTATACGGGCTAGGGGTTCTATTAGCACATGCATATACAGGCTAGGGTTTATATTAGCACATGCTTATACAGGCTAGGGATTATATTAGCACTTGCTTATACAGGCTAGGGTTTATATTAAACATGCTTATATGGGCTAGGGGTTCTATTAGCACATGCTTATACAGGCTAGGGTGTCTATTAGCACATGCTTATACAGGCTAGGGTTTCTATTATTACTTGCTTATACAGGCTAGGGATTATATTAGCACGTGCTTATACAGGCTACGGATTATATTAGCACATGCTTATACAGGCTAGGGATTATATTAGCACCTGCTTATACAGGCTAGGGTTTATATTAGCACATGCTTGTACAGGCTAGGGTGTCTATTAGCACATGCTTATACAGGCTAGGGTTTCTATTAGCACATACTTATACATGCTGGGGATTATATTAGCACCTGCTTATACAAGCTAGGGATTATATTAGCACCTGCTTATTCAGGCTAGGTTTTATATTAGCACATGCTTGTACAGGCTAGGGTGTCTATTAGCACATGCTTATACAGGCTAGGGTTTCTATTAGCACATACTTATACATGCTGGGGATTATATTAGCACCTGCTTATACAGGCTAGGGTTTATATTAGCACCTGCTTATAGAGGCTATGGTTTATATTAGAACATGCTTATACAGGCTAGGGTTTCTATTAGCACATACTTATACAGGCTAGGGTTTCTATTAGCACATGCTTATACAATCTAGGGTTTATATTAGCACATGCTTATACAGGCTAGGGTTTCTATTAGCACATACTTACACAGGCTGTGGATTCTATTAGCACTTGCTTATACAGGCTAGGGTTTCCATTAGCACATACTTACACAGGCTGGGGATTCTATTAGCACTTCCTTATACAGGCTCGGGTTTCTATTAGCACATGCTTATAAAGGTTAGGGTTTATATTAGCACATGCTTATACAGGCTAGGGTTTATATTAGCACTTGCTTATACAGGCTAAGGATTCTATTAGCACATGCTTATACAGGCTAGGGTTTATATTTAGCTTGACTTCTGATGAGACGCTGAATGTGTGAAGCGATCCTTTGATCTACTTACACGCAAGGCTGTAGTAATAATATTATTATAATAATATAAATGTCCCCCCCCCCCCCAATATATTTCTATAAAAAGATCATTGCTATGCTATGTAAATAAAAACAATTTGCTAAACCTTGATATGATTTCGCTCATGTTTGTACTTTATAAATCCCTAATCTCTTCCATTAGATACAACGAAACAACAAAAGGTACGAAATAAATAAATAAACAGAGCAATGTAAATACAATACACTGCTTAGACATTATTGTAAAAAAAATATTACAAAAAAGTTTATCCCATGTGTTAGTGATTTTTTTTATATTTTAGGCAGGAAATTAGTTTTATGTTTTAATTTAAAGCTTTCGTGACTGCGGTAATTCATATTCTTAGCTCTTTCGGTAAAGTCACGTTGAAGGGAAACAATAAAATAATGAAATATATATAAAACAATAAAAATTCTCACGACGTTTCGACCATAACACAAACGGTCGTCATCAGGTGTGTCGGTTCGCATCAATTTATTTATTTATTGACGGTGTGTTTATTTATTTATAAAAAACGTCAGCGCCACGCGCAGCGATTTGGCAGTTTATTTAGAAGGACGAGTCCATCTATGTTCTGAAAAGAGGAGGGGGGAGACGAAAAATTAATGTATGCTGTCTGAAAGCCACCGTAAGCGTGAACAATCAATTAAGACCCAGAAATGGTTTAACAAATCCTTCCAATGATTGCTAAGCCCAGAATCCATCTTCTCGGTTGAAGTTGTCTCTGTGCTTGTATATGTGGATAGCCTCGTGAACGAAACTCTCATGGTAGCCGTAAGCGTGAACAATCAATTAAGACCCAGAAATGGTTTATCAAATCCTTACAATGATTGCTAAGCCCAGAATCCATCTTCCCGGTTGAAGTTGTCTCTGTGCTTGTATATGTGGATAGCCTCGTGAACGAATCTCTCATGGTAGCCGTAAGCGTGGACAATCAATTTAGACACAGAAATCGTTGATCAAATCCTTCCAATGATTGCTAAGCCCAGAATCCATCTTCTCGGTTGAAATTGTCTCTGTGCTTGTATATGTGGATAGCCTCGTGAACGAATCTCTCATGGTAGCCAGATATTTTATTATTTTATTGTTCCTCTTCAACGTCACTTTACCGAAAGAGCTAAGAATAGGAAATTCGTTTTAAAATTTATATTTTTTCTGGGGGGGGGGGGGGGGGGGGCAGACCCCCTGGAAGATTTGGTCCCTCCCAAATGTTGTCTCCATGGCTACGGCCTTGCTCTATAATGTCCGATACAAGCAGCATGCCCCGTAGAGTTAGGAAATGCTAACGCCATACCAAGTGTTGTTTTTTTACGTGCCTATAAATAAATACGAGCGGTTTAAGATTGGGCAAGTCAATGCATTGAATGGATTGTAATGCGCCCCATGCTTGTGCGTGCTGTGATATTTAGTCACAACATTGCCTAGGGGATTGCAAATATCACCCGCCCCAGCAACAAAACACATCCAGCCAATCAGCAATCGCCCTCGCGGACCCCAACAGCCAATCAACGGGCGTAGTTTTCTCCCCCACACCATCTTCCCCCCCCCAACTACCTTCACTCCCCCACCTCCACCTGACAGCCAATCAACGACCTGGTTTGCCCCCCCCCCACCTCCGCGCACCAGCCAATCAACGACCGTAGCTCTTCTCCTCCCACCAACTTCCCCCCTCCAACTTCCACCCGCCATCCAATCAACGAACGTTATTTCCCCCCCCCTTTCACCCCCACCCACCTCCCCACCCGCCAGCCAATAAGCGGCGGTAGTTCAACCCCCCCCTCCCACCCACCTTCGAGTTTTTCACCCCGCTAAGCCAATCGGCGAACGCGGTTGCCCGCAGCCAATCGGCGCGCGCCACGAGTCGCACTATAAAAGCGTGGGGAGCGGGTGGGGGGAGGGGGCGTGCACAGCGGCGTCGCCTCAGACGGCGGCGCCCAGCTTAGAGCTCCCTCAAACGTTTAACAAAAAAAGTTTAAATAACACTTCGATTCATCGTCGACGGCTCACTTCTAATCGATCGAGCCGATCAATCGCTTGGTTTAAAGAACAAACCCCCCCCCTCTCCGCCCCAACAAAAAAAAAACGCGCAATGGTCGTGGTTGAGTCCCAACACTGCGGCCTGGTGCCCCGTGGAGCCTCGGTCTCGCCTGGCTCGGCGGCGGGGCTCGGCTCGCCCTGGGCCGGCCGGAGCTCGAGCTCCGAGGCCGGGGCCGCTTCGTGCTCGGAGGACGAGGCGCTGGGCGGACAGCCTCGGCAGCCCCGCAAGAGGCAGCGGCTCTCGCACCTCTCGGCCGAGGAGAAGCTGCTGCGACGGTAACGGAGCTCACGGTGGTGGGGAGGGGTGGCGTGGAGTGGTGCAGGCTCACAGCGCCATGTACCGTAGGGTTCAGTGTTAATCACTGAGGCTCACAGCGCCATGTACCGTAGGGTTACAGTGTTAATCACTGAGGCTCACAGCGCCATGTACCGTAGGGTTACAGTGTTAATCACTGAGGATCACAGCGCCATGTACCGTATGGGTTCAGTGTTAATCACTGAGGCTCACAGCGCCATGTACCGTAGGGGTTCAGTGTTAATCACTGAGGCTCACAGCGCCATGTACCGTAGGGTTACAGTGTTAATCACTGAGGATCACAGCGCCATGTACCGTATGGGTTCAGTGTTAATCACTGAGGCTCACAGCGCCATGTACCGTAGGGGTTCAGTGTTAATCACTGAGACTCACAACCATCCCACAGGGTTCAGTTGTTAATCACTGAGGCTCACAGAGCCATACACCGTAGGGTTACAGTGTTAATCACTGAGGCTCACAACCATCCCACAGGGTTCAGTTGTTAATCACTGAGGCTCACAGCGCCATGTACCGTATGGTTACAGTGTTAATCACTGAGACTCACAGAGCCATGTACCGTAGGGTTACAGTATTAATCACTGAGGCTCACAGAGCCAGACTAATGCTACCATATGGTTCAGTTTTAATCACTGAGACAGCCAGACTAAGGCTCCCATATGGTTCATGTTAATCACAGACTCACAGAGCCAGACTAAGGCTCCCTCACGTAGGGTTCAGTGTTAATCACTGAGACTCACAGAGCCAGACTGAGGCTCCCACAGGGTTCAATGTTAATCACTGAGGCACACAGAGCCAGACTAAGACTCCCTCCCATATGGTTCAGTGTTAATCACTGAGGCTCGCAGAGGCAGACTAAGGCTCCCAACAGGGTTCAAGTGTTAATCACTGAGGCTCACAGAGCCAGACTAAGGCTCCCACAGGGTTCAGTGTTAATCACTGAGGTTCACAGAGCCAGACTAAGGCTCCCACAGGGTTCAGTGTTAATCACTGAGACTCACAGAGCCAGACTAAGGCTCCCACAGGGTTCAATGTTAATCACTGAGGCTCACAGAGCCAGACTAAGGCTCCCACAGGGTTCAGTGTTAATCACTGAGACTCACAGAGCCAGACTAAGGCTCCCACAGGGTTCAGTGTTAATCACTGAGACTCACAGAGCCAGACTAAGGCTCCCACAGGGTTCAATGTTAATCACTGAGACTCACAGAGCCAGACTAAGGCTCCCACAGGGTTCAGTGTTAATCACTGAGACTCAGAGCCAGACTAAGGCTCCCTCACGTAGGGTTCAGTGTTAATCACTGAGACTCACAGAGCCAGACTAAGGCTCCCATAGGGTTCAGTGTTAATCACTGAGACTCACAGAGCCAGACTAAGGCTCCCATAGGGTTCAGTGTTAATCACTGAGACTCACAGAGCCAGACTAAGGCTCCCATAGGGTTCAGTGTTAATCACTGAGACTCACAGAGCCAGACTAAGGCTCCCAACAGGGTTCAAGTGTTAATCACTGAGGCTCACAGAGCCATATACCGTAGGGTTACAGTGTTAATCACTGAGGCTCACAGAGCCATATACCGTAGGGTTACAGTGTTAATCACTGAGGCTCACAGAGCCAGACTGAGGCTCCCTCACATAGGGCTCAGTGTTAATCACTGAGGCTCACAGCGCCATGTACCGTATGGGTTCAGTGTTAATCACTGAGGCTCACAGAGCCAGACTAAGGCTCCCACAGGGTTCAGTGTTAATCACTGAGGTTCACAGAGCCAGACTAAGGCTCCCTCACATAGGGCTCAGTGTTAATCACTGAGGCTCACAGCGCCATGTACCGTAGGGGTTCAGTGTTAATCACTGAGACTCACAGAGCCATGTACCGTAGGGTTACAGTGTTAATCACTGAGACTCACAACCATCCCACAGGGTTCAAGTGTTAATCACTGAGACAGAGCCATGTACCGTATGGTTACAGTGTTAATCACTGAGGCTCACAGAGCCAGACTAAGACTCCCTCCCATATGGTTCAGTGTTAATCACTGAGGCTCGCAGAGGCAGACTAAGGCTCCCAACAGGGTTCAAGTGTTAATCACTGAGGCTCACAGAGCCAGACTAAGGCTCCCACAGGGTTCAAGTGTTAATCACTGAGGCTCGCAGAGGCAGACTAAGGCTCCCACAGGGTTCAGTGTTAATCACTGAGACTCACAGAGCCAGACTAAGGCTCCCACAGGGTTCAATGTTAATCACTGAGGCTCACAGAGCCAGACTAAGACTCCCTCCCATATGGTTCAGTGTTAATCACTGAGGCTCGCAGAGGCAGACTAAGGCTCCCACAGGGTTCAGTGTTAATCACTGAGGTTCACAGAGCCAGACTAAGGCTCCCACAGGGTTCAGTGTTAATCACTGAGGCTCAAAGAGCCAGACTAAGGCTCCCACAGGGTTCAGTATTAATCACTGAGGCTCACAGAGCCAGACTGAGGCTCCCTCACGTAGGGTTCAGTGTTAATCACTGAGGCTCACAGAGCCAGACTAAGGCTACCATATGGTTCAGTGTTAATCACTGAGGCTCACAGAGCCAGACTAATGCTACCATATGGTTCAGTGTTAATCACTGAGACAGAGCCAGACTAAGGCTCCCATATGGTTCAGTGTTAATCACTGAGGCTCACAGAGCCAGACTAAGGCTCCCACAGGGTTCAGTGTTAATCACTGAGGCTCACAGAGCCAGACTAAGGCTCCCACAGGGTTCAGTATTAATCACCGAGGCTCACAGAGCCAGACTAAGGCTCCCCTCACCGTTCAGTGTTAGTCATTGAGACTCACAGAGCCAGACTAAGGCTCCCTCACGTAGGGTTCAGTGTTAATCACTGAGGCTCATAGAGCCAGATAATGATGTGGTTATTGTTGAGGTTGTTCATGCTGTAGTTGTACATGCTGTGGTTGTTGTGTTAATGTTTTGTGGTGGTTGTTGTGGTTGTACATGCTATGGTTGTGTTAATGTAGTTGTGGTTGTTGTTGTGGTTGTGTTAATGTTGTTGTGGTTGTTAATATTGCTGCTGTTGTTGTGTTAATGTTGTTGCTGTGGTTGTGGTTGTTGTGTTAATGTTGTTGCTGTGGTTGTTGTGTTAATGTTGTTGCTGTGGTTGTTGTGTTAATGTTGTTGTGGTTGTTGTGTTAATGTTGCTGTGGTTGTTGTGTTAATGTTGTTGTGGTTGTGTTAATGTTGTTGTGTTAATGTTGTTGCTGTGGTTGTTGTTGTGTTAATGTTGTTGCTGTGGTTGTTGTTGTGTTAATGTTGTTGCTGTGGTTGTGGTTGTTGTGTTAATGTTGTGTTAATGTTGTTGTGGTTGTTGTGTTAATGTTGTTGCTGTGGTTGTTGTGTTAATGTTGTTGCTGTGGTTGTTGTTGTGGTTGTTGTGTTAATGTTGTTGTTGTGTTAATGTTGTGGTTGTTGTGTTAATGTTGTTGCTGTGGTTGTGGGTGTTGTGTTAATGTTGTTGCTGTGGTTGTTG